CTGGTTATGAAATTTATTTTCGAACAAAAGAATCAATAAAATAAGATATCAAAACTAACCAAATCATTAATAGGAAGATATGTCATACCTATTCGAAGCACCCTTATGAATATGCTTGTTTCCTAATGACACCTCACTTTCTTACGGTTCATGATATTGTTATACATTACCTTTAAGAAAATAAGATACATTCAGGNCCTGNTGCGGATGAGCTTAAGCTTGTGTTATTNCTCCTGTTCACGTATGTGGTAACACGATTTTCTTACAGTCAGATGTGGAAACATAAATTTAAAAGCTGAAAATTCTTATGCACACTACTCTCTGTTAAAACGATTGCTTTATAATTTAAATGAAGTGACAAATTTACGTTTGCTCACCATGTCAAAAATACCTCGTCACATGCCATTGGGAAGNAATTTATTAAATGAATGCTTCACCATTTNGTCTGTGCAGTGATGATCNGAATTTGTGATAAGCAAGAGCTTTTTACCAGCCGTTGACTGAACAGTACGATATAAACAACTGAAACCATCATAAATAAACATTACCTATTTTTGATCCNAAAGAGCTAAAGGTAAAATTCTAGGACTGGCTCAAAAAATATTTCCGGTTTGGACATTATCTTAATCTGCAAAGTACCTTCCGATGATTTTGCCGCAACTACGAATCGGAGAAGAGAGTATTCTTTTTCCGTACCCAAACCCTAAGAGAGAACAATTACGTTACAATTGCAACTCGAGAACCATGAATTGAAAACACAACCCTCGATGAATAAACTCAGATTATATAACAGACATATTGTTCCATAAAATTAACTCAATTAGGGGCTTTAAGTGAGTACTTGAAGAATTCGAGAGCTTTAAGGCCATTGGAATGAGCAGCGAAGAGACGACCGAGAACTTCCGATACGAATTCCGGTGATAACGAAGATAAAGGGATTAGTTTTGTGAGAATGGGTTGAATCGGATGATTTGGGTATGGATGATCATTGATGATCCTTGTGACACGTTCGATCTCTGCTCTGTTTAGTGACAATGATGAAGATGGTGATAGTGCCGGAGCAAGAAGACGATACGAATCGGAGGAGATTTTCTTAAGCATTTCCGAACTAAGAAAATTAAGATACCGACCGGAGGAAATACGAAACCTAAAATGGGAAACCCCGGTACAGTTTAACCGATCGAAACGAACCAAAATTATATCGAAAATTTGGTTTATTTTGGTTATTTAGAATTTGTGGGATGGCTCTGAGTTAATAGCTTAGCAGATAATCGGGAGCTTTTATTACTAAGACATATTGTTCGATAAACAGCATATTTTATTACTAATGGGCTAAACTTCTCCTTTCGATTTGGGCCATTGGGTTTTTTATGCTATAATTTAAACATAATGGATCCGAACGGTAGCCCAACAAATCTTTTTTTTAAAACACAGTGGCAGTTTCGTAATTAAATGACGATGACATAAGCTGTAAATATGTATTTTTCGCGAAGGGTACCCTTGTAATCAACCACCCTCAAATTCATTCTGAGGGCGCCACATAGGATTTCGCACTTCATATATAATTATATAGATATACGTGTGTAAAATAATTTTTTATTTCCATATATTATTAGGAAGATAAAGAAATAATCATAAATTTTAGGAAAAATTATACTCATCTTGAGCAGTAGCAAAAACATGTTACTCTAAATTCTACATTGTGGAAATCTGGCGAAAACGTAGTAATTCCCTCTCGAAAGTTTTGTATCCTCCCACATAGACCTAGATAACTAATCTCATACTAATTTTGTAACGCCCGTGAACCAAAAATGGATTTTTGGTGTGGCATCGAGCGACGTAAGGATGGTGCGTCGATCGATGCAGATGTTGGATTTGCGAGAAGTCGGGCTCGAGAGCGTGCGTCGATCGACGCAGGAGGCTTGCGTCGAGCGACGCAGCTGTCGGCAGGCTATTTAAGTCGAAAATCGAATTTTTGGGCAGAATTAACCGAAATTTCAGAGAGAATTAGAGAGAGGATTGAGAGGAGAAGGGATTGTTGTTGTCTTTCTTCGTTTTCTTGATCCTATAGGCTTGTTTTGGTGTTTGTGAGGTTGTGGGAGCGAGAGAGGATCGTGCGGTGAAGGATTCGGATTCGGGGATCCGTGTTCTTCGTGTTCTTCGTCGGTTTCTCACCGTTTTCTATCCGAAATCGAGGTGAGTGCGTGACCATGGCTTATCTGGGTAAAAGTTTTGATAGGATACGTTTGATTGTTGTTTGTGTTTGGATTTTATGTTGATTGGTTGGTTTTATGCGATTGATTGTTGTTTGCGGTTGTATTTCGGGTTGTCTTAAGACTAATGTTCTTTGACGAATACGATTATTCTTAATAGATGATAACAAATAAAAAACGAAGACAAAGTCTAGGTAAATAGTGAAAACAAATCCAGAATTTTTGGAACTTCATCAATAGTAAAAAGATCCAAATTGTTAAATAAATGCAAAATAATAAAATAACGTTTTTGATAAGCCTTAATTTGTAGAACCAATAGCCATGATAAAAAAGGATGACAAAAGAAAGTTTAAAACATTTATAGAAAATCAGATTTTTAACGAACAAAATATTTGCGAATAACCATAACACGGTTTTCTGGTAAAATGCAACTTTCAAAAATATAGTTATAATAAAAAGTTGTGACTTTTGACATAACGGTTATTTCTTGAAAGTAACCACCAAATGGTTATCATGAAAAGACGCAACTATATATTGACGTAAGAAGTAACTACCAAACGGTTATATGATAAAGACACGACTATTGACGTAGGAAGTAACCACCAAGGGATTATAATGAAAAGACGCAATTATTAACGGAAAATTTATATTTAAAAGACAAAAATTTAAGGAAATAACCACCAAACGGTTTTAAATAACAAGTCACACCCTAAAAATATTCATTTTTTTTTGTTTGCTATTATATATATAGATAGTTGCAACATAATTTGTCCTTATCGGATATAAGTTAATTAGGTATTATTGTTTTCCTAGACCATCTTGTAAAAACAAAGTATACTCCGTATATCCCTTGAATACTAGATGAAATCAAAATTTAGTTTAAATTTGTATTTTATTTGTCTTTGATTTTCGACCAAAAAAAAAAAAAAAATTGTCTTTGATTTGAGACAAAACATCGGCTTACTCAAAATCTCTATTTTCAATATTTCCCATATCCTTTGACTATCTCTAGTATGTTACATGAGGACTATGTAAAAGCTTATAATTATATGATGAGGACTATGTAAAAGCAATGCTCTCTAATAAACCTTTCTTAAACCCGACTTCAATGGGGGAGGCCAAGTTGATGGTCGAAGTGAAACTAGATCAGGCTTTTCCGCATAGAATTGCGGCTGGTGATTAAAAAAAGTAATATCTCGATGGTGTCCGTTAAGTACTCTTGGATTCCATCTAAGTGTGTAAGGTGTGGGCAATTAGGCCACAAAGAATCAAGATGTCTAATCCCTGAACAACAACCCTTAGTTGCTCCTGCCTCCATTGTTGTTAATGATGTTGTCAAAGAAGTGGTTGCAAAAACCGCTGAAATTGCTCATGCACCTACTGTTACGCATGACTCTATTGTGGAAGTAGCTTTCACTCCAACCATTGTTGTTGATGTCCCTGCAGTAGCTACACATACTTCAGCCTCTCTACAAACCCAGCTCCGCAACTATTGCAACTACTCTCACTGCGTTTCAAAACGCCAATATTACCCCATTAAAGGGTCTTCCTACTGCTTTAGTTACACCATGTACTCCTATGATAGATTCATTGATAGATGAAGATGAAAGAAATGCGTTTTGTGACAATTTTGTCACATTAGACTCAATGTACTCCGGATTCGGGATGGGTGACTCTTCTCATAGGTCCAGAGGTGGAAGACCAATTAAACCCACACAAAAATTTCAAGAGATGCAATGGAGTTTGGTAAAAGGACGAAGAAATAACGATCGCGGTGGTCGGCCACGGATCACCAACTTAGGAGTTTTTAGAGATTCATCTCAGAATCCTCCTCCCCTTTGTCGTGACTTTGGTCATTGTGGTCGCGGTAAACGGCCACAATCCTCTTTACTAGCTAACTTTCAAGTTTCATAAGTAGAATTTCTTATGTCCATATCTTTATCCTTCTATCTCGTATGGGTGTCTTCTCAATTGTAAAC